TTTGTGTGTTTTATTTCGTTTTATCGTTTTATTTGACCTTATGCAAAGAATGGTTGTGTATTTGAGAAAAATGATGTATGTATATTGTGGTTATGTATACTATATGTCTCTCTCTCTCTCTCTCTCTCTCTCTCTCTCTCTCTCTCTCTCTCTCTCTCTCTCTCTCTCTCTCTTCTCTCTCTCAATATGTATATGTATACATGTTCATACATATTCACCTCGAAACCACATTCCCCTTCAAAATCATATAAATAAAAATGAACCAACTCTCCAATACCAACAACATAAATCTTTAAAAGGAAAAATAAAAAAATAGAAAAAAAGGAAATAATTATCGCCGAAACAAAGACAAAAAGAATCATAATTATTTCTCGGGATCGACATTTTATCTTTTTTATTTAATAAGCTGCACCTCAACAACAGCATTTATAAAGGATTTCGGAAACGGAAATGTTGTTTTCGAGAAAGGGGGGGAGGGAGGGGGGGGGTGGGTCCGCATTTCCGGATGGGCAGCACGCAAGAAAGTGTGGGTAGGAGGGAGAGAGGGAGAGAGAGAGAGGGAGAGAGAGAGAGAGAGAGAGAGAGAGAGAGAGAGAGAGAGAGAGAGAGAGAGAGAGAGAGAGAGAGAGAGAGGGGGGGGGGGCGAGAGGGCAGAGAGGTTTCTGAGTGACGAGAGGGAGAAGGAGAGGAGAGGAAAATAGAAAGAGAGAAAGAATGTGTGTAAGACAGACAGATAGATAGAGAGACCTGACATACGTAGATAACAAGACACGATAATAGAAACCAACTCCTTGCCAATAACCCTCCTCCCAAGAGAGAGAGAGAAAAAAAAATAATAATTCCAAATTCACTCCACCTCATTAATTGCAAAGTAATCAAGAAAATAAATTTAATAAACTCACACAACTCACAACAAATCAAGACAGAAACATCCATAAAAATTACATCAATAACTAAAATAACACAGTGACAACCACAACTAATCATACAACAAAATATACTAATCATAAGAAATTACAACAAAAAATAACCCAAAACAGGTTATAATAACGAATTACGAAAGCAAATCACAATAAACAATAATTAAAATAAAATCTTAATAAACAATAACTACAAGTCACAAAGAACCGAAATATATATATACGTATATACACAAAAAATGCCAAAATGTAAATCACAATAAAAAAACAACAACTCCAAAACAAAGAACACTACAAAATACAATCAACCCAAAAAAGAGAGAAAATACAAAGAAAAATACAAAACAACCAACCCCCCCAAAACAACAAAAATACACAAACCAAAGAAAACTACACTAAAACAGCAGCAAAAATACCCATATCAATCCAAACTACAAAAAAATACCAACAAAAACAACAATAACAATAATCACCCAAACACACCACGAAACAATCCTAATAACCCTTACAGTAGGCCTACGCACGAACTCATAGGCCTACCGAAATTCTGAACGGCCGGACGAGCACCACACGACAAGCCGCACGTTCGCCGTCGGTTCCAGGAATGGGAATGGGAAGAAATTAGGAATGGGCTGAGGTCAGTCCCGAGGAAGGCGTGAACGGAGGGAAGCCTTGTAAAAGAGAGGTCGAAGGCGGACTGTGTGTCTCCAATATTCGGTTTGTTTGTGTGT